AGAAAGAAAGAAAGAAAGAAAGAAAGAAAGAAAGAAAGAAAGAAAGAGAAAGAAAGAAAGGAAGGAAGGAAGAAATTAATGAGAAAGGGAAAGGGAAAGTTGGAGATTAAAATTAAGGAACTCAAATGAGAGAAAGTAACAGCAACTAATAAGAAGGGGAAAGATGACCAGGTAAGAAAAGAAGTTGGGGAAAAACTACCTCCACCCCCCAAAAAAGTTTCATACCATTCATTTCAAGAAGGAGGAATAATATAGCAATGGAGAAGTATTCCGCTCTGAATTCCCCTCCTTTTTTAATTTAAAAATTCTCTTGCATCACCTATATGTCTCAGTGCTTCCCATCTGGGTTGCGGCTACTAGTAATCCATTCATAAGGTTTCAAGCAGCTGCACAAAGCTCCAGCTTCCAGTTTACTCTCTCTCTCTCTCTCTCTCTCTCTCTCTCTCTCTCTCTCTCTCTCTGTCTCTCCCCCTTCCTCCCTTCCTCCCTCCCTCCCTCCCTCTCCCTCTCTCTCTTCCCCCTCCCTCTCTCTCCTTCTTCTCTCCCTCTCTCTCCTTCATTCCTTTGCTCACCACTCTCCACTTCAGCTCTTGGCAGTCCAAAGTTAAAGAAAAAAAAGGTTGAACCATTTCTATGTTTTCCTCCTGTTGTAACTTTTGCTGTGACATCATAATCCTGCCCACCAAAACCCTACCTCTCTCTCTTCTTTCCATCCCACCCCTCACCAGCTCTATACCCCCCAAACAAACCCCCTGCTAAGAGGGAGCCTTGCTGTCACTCTCGATGTAGGAAGCATGCAGAGCTAAGAGAGGGTGCCCCTTTCCTTCTCCCCAGTTCCCCCTCCACTCTTCCCTCTGCCTTTCACCCTCCCTCTCTTACCCACCGCTAAGCCAGGGATCTCTCAAGGCTTTTAACAATGATCCCATCTGTTTGACATGTGCGGAAAGGTGGGCTGGATTCAAATAATCTGTCAGACAAGTCAGATCAAAAACACAGCAACCCCCTCCCCAGTTCCACCACACATATATAAAAACAGCAAGAGTGAGAATATTCTGTAAGGACTGTAAGTCACAACTGCATAGGACCCACCCTGGATGCCAAAGGAAAAGACACCGAACATGCCAAAGGAAACCCGTAATTATATATATAACTATATATACATATATATATATACATAACATGTGTGTGTATATATATATATATATATATATATATATATATATAAATTAAGTTGCTTATTTGTTCCTGGTAGCTACATAGTTTCCCTCGTCCCCAACATACACACACCTAGGTCCCCAATCCCTCTAACCCAAGCCCTGCCATTATACAAGAACAGGGTTCTGAGCTTTGTAGGATCTGTTTTGAAATCTCCAACGAGAGGGTTCCCCCCCCTTTTTTTTTTCACTCCAAAGCACTATCTGTGGCGATCAGACTAGAGCAGGGTTGCCAGCAAATGCTGGAGGCCCCTTCTAGGGTACAGGCTTTCAAACCAGCAAAGCTGGAGGGAATGGATTTAAGGACACACAGCAGGAGCTGCCTGAATTTGTTTTATTTTGACGGGGGTAGCCGGGGAAAGAATATCACTGCTGAAATAGCCAAGGATTTCTTAAACAGTTCTTTCAAGAGGAGTGATGTCTTGTTTTGCAGGTAAATCAAGAATTTGGAGCTTATAGATAAACAGATCAGGGAAGGAGGAGAGGAAAAGGAGAGGAGAGGAAGAAGGAGAAGGGAGGGGGGGAAGAGGACAAGAGAGGAGAAGAGGAAAAGGAGAAGGAGAGGTGAGGAGGGGAAGGGGAGAGGAGGGAAGAGAAGTAAAGAGGAGGGGAGGGGAGAAGAGGGAAGGGGAGGGGAGAAGGAGAGAGGGGGAAAGAGAAGAGGAGAACAGAGGGAAAGGGAGTCAGGGCAGGGGAGGACAGGGGAGGGTAGGACAAGACAGGATTAGACCAGACAGGGGAAAAGAGAAAAGACTGAAGGAGTACACAGGAAAAGAAAAGAAGGAAGAGAAGGGAGGGAAGAAGATCAAAAGAATGTAAGGAAAGCAAGAGTAGAAGAGGAGAGATGAAAGAAGGAATGGATGGAGGGGTAGAAGGAGTGAAAAGGGTAAAAAGGAAAGAGGAGAAGTAGAGTTAGTGAGGGAGAGGGGGAAAAAGAAAGAGGTGGGAAAGTATATGACGGGTAGAATAAAATCTGGTAACTAATAAACAAGTTAAATAAATGATGGATTAACAAAATGGAGCAAGCAGGAAAAAAAATAAAAGATGCCATAAAATGGGGCAGAGGGTAGACCATGTAAATAGAGAATAGGCAC